TCGGGGGCTCTTTTTGGCATTTCGGGGGCGAAATCGCCCGCCGCCCCCGTGTATTTTTTCCCCTGCTTCACACACACGCATCGTATCACACGTTAGATTTTTCCCACGACACTACCCGCTCTACCGCTTCCACACACGACGTACGCAATTGCTCTGTGAAATTATGACGTTTCCGTTAAGGCCATTTTCGCTTTGATGCAGTGGAGAAACTTTGACGTTTCCGTTAACGCTGTTGCGCGTCAACGCAGCGTAGATCTCGCTCGCTCACCATCTTGTGCAGCTGCACCCGGAAGTTCATGTTGGCGTCGTGCATGAGGGAGTTGGCGTACTGGTCCTCAGCTATGCACGTCATGATAATAAGACACAGCTTCGCATTGCACTGCTTCGACTCGTCTGCAAAAGGTGGCGCCACCGCATGTTTAAAGTCGCAGAAAACAGCGGTTTGAAGCGAGCGCCCCAGTTGCGAGGCATCAGGAGTAGGAAGTAAATAGATGATACGGGTGCGAGGGAATTGTTTTTTTATTATTGGAATCGTATTTGAAGATTCCATAGCTTCGAGAGATGATCATATATTCAAAGATCGGTCATGCTGGTTTGCTTGATGCTCAATCTTTGTACGAGACAATACATTGTGCTATTCTTAAATCTTCCTCGTGCTATAATGACGAAGCAACAGGACCTGATGAGGCAGCTAAGGAAGCTAAAGGGTTGCTGCGTTTATCTGCTGTCATTATTGATCTGTTTTCAGTTTAAATATATGTTCAGCTCTCATCACAGCTTGTACCCTTATTTCACGATGGTGCCGTTATTCACATCAGTGACAAAATAGCACAAAGCAATCGCATGTTCAAATAATCGATATTTTTACGAATATCCAATATGAAATTGACGTACCTTTGACATCTTGGAACACGATAGAGCTATACTGCAGAAACGTAACAAGCAAATTTGAAGACTGGCTTTCCGCTGACAGATCTGAAAGTATAGGCATGCACCTGTAGCAGTTTTGTGAAGCTCGACTCAGCAATAATCTTCCAACGTTGAGAATTACCAACCAAAGTATAAAATATTACACATCAGTTCGCAGAACAAAAGAATCAAATATTGTGAATGACAAATCTCACATGGCGACGCATGCACCTTAAAATTGAGCATGTCGTGGGTCTGTGAACTGAACATACCTAACGGTGGGTTTAGAGCCACGGGAGAGTGTGGTGGGCTGGTTTCCATTATCGTGTGTGACTGCAGTAAAATTGATAAACTAAGTAATAATATTAATTATAATTAAATAATAAAAATTTATTGTTAAAAGGCAAATGATATGTATCCATAATGTAATGATTTCATTACACACAACATTTACAGATGAATATAAATCTAGTTATAAATGAAATAATCAGAGATTTCATTATTCCAAAATATATTTAGTCACATGTACAATTCCAGAATACTTAAACTATAAATGACTTTTTTATTTTAGCTACACATGTAATAGGATTGCAATTATTTTTCAATATTATTTTTTTATAGCTGTCAGTAAGATTAAGTACTGCAGAGTTTTGATATAAGGAGTATACATACATGCGTTAAAGCCGTAACAAAGTTCCTGTTGAGATGTACAGCCTCATAGAGAGCCAACAATATGCCGTGATTTGCTCTCACCAGGTGGCTCTGACCACCATTGCCATTTTCCTCCGCAAGGAGCATACCTCCGACCTAAAATTACAAGGATAAATCATTAAGCCATTCAACCGTAACACCACAACAAAGCTAAAAAAAATACCTGCTAGTAATCCCCTGCAATCATAACTTTCTTGTGAAGGTAATTGTATCACCATCTTGCACGAAACCTTAGACACCAGTAACAGATATATGACCCAAGGATTGAACTGTAAATACTGCTGTGATAACTTTTGATCCTTTCGGTTCAAAGGGAGATGATGAGTTGGTTTGCGTGCAACTTGCACGAGACGCGCTACACCAAACCTCTCTTGTTACATCTGTTCAGTGCGTAAAACCTTCTGATCCCATCGAAAGGTCCACTATAACAACTTATGCAACCAGCAAACAAATATAGTGTTTTCTTTCTAGTAACTATTTGTGCTAGCGTAGGCGTACTGTTGTCGGTCGCTTCGCTTAACAACATTTTATGTTTATCTATACGCCAAAACTTTCTCCGAGAAAGTTTTCAAAATGCTCTACCTCGGAGCACATTTCTCGCTTAATGAGAACATTTCGTGATGTTTTCATACTGCATGTATGCTCACAGTAGGTGTATTTAGGCATTTTGTTACGAGGATTACAGCACAATGGTATCGGGTGATAAGTTGGTATTAAGTTGTTAGAGTGATAAGTTGGTCGAACAGACAGGTAACAGATAGGTTGGTACTGCGGTGGAATTGAATCTCAAGTAGATATGGGCCAGGCCTGCCATTCACACCTTTCACACCGCCACCCAATAAAATTACCATAATATACACCACGCCATCTCTGAATTCCCCACCTATGGAATGAGTGGGCCCTCGATGAGATTAGATCATCAGTAGATTAACGTGATAAATTATCATGCGTTGCGGATGAAACTGCTGACATGCACATACCATACTAGTGATAGTGGAAAAGAATCCCTGTTGCTGCTGGTCGGGTTGCCTCATAGCAAACTCCCTGTTGAAGTCGGAAAGAATGTTGGATACAACCTGTCCCAGACCCTGCGCATGGATAAACAAGAACCGAAGCCAGTCAGACAAGGCACTCTGCAGGTCACGGATAGTTTAATTATATTATATATGAAGCATATAGGACAATATACAGACACGTATGTTTGAGACGAAGATAACAGTGGTTCCCGCTTTATCGGGAAAGTTCGGGAACCACGAAAATCTCCCGATTAAGCAGTGAATACATAACAACGTGCAGACAACTTGTATTTCAAATACAGACAATATTTAAGCAACACCGACATCTATTAGGGACCTGATAAAGTGGAGACCACTGTAGTTTACTATACTGCATATATTATTATTTTTTAGTTACATGGTGCTGAATTATAGCATATATATTAATAGAGATCTCTCACGCATGACTTACATTCAAGGCAAGTTCATCGTCCAGGATTGATAACTTGACTATGTAAGGGTTTGCCGACTGAAAACAATAATATCCGTAAACATTAGTGAGCAATAACGGTCGCCCCTCTGCCGCATGTCCCGCAGCGAAGAGGTGTAAAACAGTAGATGTGTGTCAGGTAGTGTGACATACATGGCTTTAGATAATAGGTTTATCTTTAAAGTTTAACCCTATACAGTTGTCTCGATTACCTAATACAAACGGGACCCATAGGTTGATTAGATAATCGAAAATGTCAGATAATGTGGCAACGCTGATGGGGTGAAACAAATCACAGATTAAATAACACAGTGTAAGTACAAATCAAATTTGCAGATGAGATAGCAGTAGATCAGTGGTAGTATGTGACGCACTCAGAGACAAAGCCGAGTGTATAATAAGAGTACACGCAGCACAACGCTGTGCAGTACACATGCAGCAAGTGAATCAACTACGTCAGACAAAACGCAATGTCAGATAACCGATAGTGGGATAATCGTGACACTAGTACTGTAGTTTGATGTTTGCCGTGCACACGCTGCTTACCTCGTACTTCCTGTAGTTAACTAGAATCGCGAGGAGCAGAACGATGTCCTCTCCATGATGCTGTCGATCAGTCGGATTCGCCAGCAACTTGAGTGAGACAAGTGCGACATAACGACGACTATCAAATACGGAGACAGCTCGACATAACATCAGCTATTAAATATGTCGGAGTATATATAAACCAATGCCAGTGTTGGAAATGGCAGAAGCTGCCCCCCCCCCCAGTATGGGAACAGTAACCATCGAGTGGTACTGGCTAATTTTTATGAGTTTCACTATAGGTTATATGTTAGAAATCAAAATGTTTGAAATCAGGATCGGCGGGGCTTTCAGAATCATTTCCAAGACTGCTAACACTTATTAAACCTTGCACTAGCAGATGATATATATATATATATATACATAGAAGATGGATCAGCATTGATGCAACAGTGCTTTATACACTGACTAATAGCCTAGCTCTACAATGACTGTGGTTATTCGCAGATTGACCCTCCTACCACTTGTGCAATTTAAAAAAACCTCAATAACATACGTGTATGATGGATTCGAAGATGCTGTTCATCATCAGATACTCGAGTATCGTGTTCTGGCTCACATTATCTGTTGCCTGAAACATACGACATGTGTCAATACATAACTACACACAAATACATGCGTTCACGCCTGCCCCGCACACATGCACACACGCTCACATACACGCTTTTACAGATCGTATAAGCGTATTCACGGTGGCTAGCTGCCGTTACATTAGTTAGCGAGGGTATGGATGATAGCAACATATCGTATTTAAGCGTACTCACGGTGGCTAGCTTCCGTTACATCGTTTAGCGAGGGTATGGATAATAGTGACAGGTCATATAAGATACTCACGGTGGCTAGTTCCGTTACATCGTTTAGTCGAGGGTATGGATAATAGTGACAGGTCATAATAGCGTACTCACGCGTTGGCTTAGCTTCCGCTTTACATCGTTTAGCGAGGGTATGGATAATAGTGACAGGTCATATAAGCGTACTCACGGTGGCTAGCTGCCGTTACATCGTTTAGCGAGGGTATGGATAATAGTGACAGGTCATATAAGCGTACTCACGGTGGTAGCTTCCGTTACATCGTTTAGCGAGGGTATGTATAATATGACAGGTATATAAGGTACTCACTGGTGGCTAGCTTCGTTACATCGTCTTTAGCTAGGGTAACGATGATAGCAACAGATCGTATAAGCGTACTCACAGTGGCTAGCTGCCGTTACATTGTTTAGCTAGGGTAACGATGATAGCGCTACCGTCCCATTGGGGGACCAAGGGGATAAGTAAGTAAAGCAGGGATGATAGCGACAGATCGCAGAAGCGTACTCACAGTGGCTAGTGCGAGCAGTAGCTTCAGGGACAGAATCCTCAGCCCCACGGGACACTCCGTCACCAGAACGAGTTCACGTTCTATGAGCGTCTGCAACATAAAAACGCATTCAAGTGTAACTCTCACTCCAGCTCTGATAGACTTTTCCAGCTGATGCAGAGCACATTTTAATATGTTTACAGGGATTACTGAAACGAGTGAGAAGCCTAGGCAAACCACCACTGACAGAACGCCACTTGAAAGACACATCTACATATATATACATGTCACAAAATATGTGATACCAAAACAAAGGAATGTGATCAATCCACAGGGGATCATAGGCAGTCAAATTCTGTGCCTTGCTTGCATATGCTTTAAATATAGAACAGGCTGAACAAATAACACTATGTATTGGGGCAAACATCATCTTATACCATTGTCACTAAGCAAGGCAAACGTACTGTCAAACCAGCAAATCTCATAACAGGTTCCCAGGCTCCCAGCACTCTTTACGTCAACCAACACCTGATAACACCTGATCAATTAGCACACATTACTAATGGATATAGAAACTTATATTATATAATATATATATAGTATATATTAGTTAATATTCTATTTATATATATTATATATTATCATATTATATATTATATAATATATATATATATATATATATACTCCTCCTGAGGTATATGTATTATATACATGTATAATATTCTATATCCATTAGTATGGATAAAGAGCAGTAGTAAGGAGAAAGCGGCTGCTTTGAGCGCCGAGGAAGAGAAAGAGGGAGGAAGGAGGTGGGGGAGAAGAGGAAGGAGGAGGTGGCGGAGGAGGGGGATGAGCATGAGGAGGAGAGAGGACGAGGTGGAAACCACATTCATGCACCTGCACAAGGCTCATGGCCACGCGGAGGAGAAAAAAGCAGAAGTAGGAGGAAGAGGAAGAGGATGAGTAAGAGCAGGAAGATAAAAAGGAAGAAGAGGAGGAGTTGGAGCAGGAGAAGGACAAGGAGGAAGAGGAGGAAGAAGAAACCCCATTCAGGCACCTGCACGAGGCTCTCGGCCAGGCAGTGGCGGAGGAAGGGGAGAGGGAAGAGGAGGAGGAGGAGGAAGAGGAGAAGGAAGCCAAGGAAGACGAGGACGAAGCGCAACAAGAAGAAACCCTCCTGCATTACCTGCATCAGGTTCTCCGCGGAGTCAAATCCGACAAGAACATCGATGACGTCAAAGCCGTAGTTGGCGAGGTCTCGTCGGTAGACGCCGCGTATGAGCGCGCAGAGTGTCTGCAGCGCGTGAACGATGCGGATCTGATAGTCCTCACGCAGCGTCGCGACGCACTTGTAGAACAACGTGTTGATGTTCTCCTGCCGAGGGGGAGAGAAGGGGGAGAATGTCACGTGTTAACGTTAGCACGAGGGAAGGCTGTGTTAGGGGGAAGACTGAGAGAAAGGAAAGACCGAAAGAAAGGAAAGACTTGTCATGTAGAGGCAGGAACAAGACACCGGGACGAGGGCACCGTCCGAGTGTCACGTGTTAACGTTGGCACGGGGGAAGGCTGTGTTAGGGGGAAGACTGAGAGAAAGGAAAGACTTGTCATGTAGAGGCAGGAACAAGACACCGGGACGAGGGCACCGTCCGAGTGTCACGTGTTAACGTTGGCACGGGGGAAGGCTGTGTTAGGGGGAAGACTGAG